ATTTGGTCCAAAAGGGAGTCCAAGTTTAAGTCCAATGAGGGCATGAAGGAGCCCAACCTGGTGGCTGGCCCCCAACAAATCGACCCAGCTAAGCAGACAAAGGCCCAAGTTCGCCTAACCCACGTGTTTAGAGTTTTCCTTTTGGCACCTACGTCGCGTCACCAGATCTGTTGGATCAGAACCAATCCAATAGTTTATATATGCGAGATCTTAGGGTTTTACCCTTTTAGATATCAGCGCCGCAGCACTAGATCCATTGGATCTGAACCAATCCAACGATTCATATGGACCAGATGTTAGGGTTTCAGTGATGTACGTTCAGGGGGAACTGTCGGTCAGCCTGAGGACTCTTGGAGAGTACTCATTTTAGCAACAACAACATCCCGAATATTTCGAGACCACCATGTAAATCAAAATAGAATCATAACTTAGTCAAAATAGGACTCTAAACTAACCGAAAAACATGGATCTTCTAAGGCTATGAATGCATGTAAGTGTAAAACAAAACACAAGTTAGATCGGAGCAAGGAAAGCACTTGTAATCTCGAGCAAAAACATCAATAAAAAAAGGTATTATTTTTACCTTTCTCGGTTTGATTCTGGAGGTTTTGGTTTCGGTTTTGGGTCTTTTGTGGATTATTCTTTCTTTTTTGGCTCGAAAAAACCCCTCATGAAGCATAAAGCCGATGAACGGAGGAGGGGCATATGAAAGATCTTTTTGTAGATCTAGTCATCCTCGAGGTTGTTTTATAAAAATGGAGGAGATTTTTGAAGAGAAGAGACCAAAAATTTTTGAAAAGTGTAATTTTTTGGGGTTTAACCGTTGATGAACAGTGATCGACGTCGTTCTATGACGGCCGTCGAGGTAGAACACGATCGAATTCTGGGTCTCTATGAAGCCCGTCCAGATTGTTCTTCGAGCCTGAATAATATTATAGAGAATTTGGGGGGAGGGTTTTTGATCGATTTGAAGAGGGGATGAGGAAATGAAACCAGTTTGTGAATTTTAGGCCTTATATATGACCCGGTGACCTAATTTAAGGCTATCCAAGCTTCTTAAAGTATGGAGAAGTTGGTAGCCTTGTTGTTTCCCGATCTATGAGAGACACCAAATTCTACACTTAAATCAAAAAGTAATCTTCACAATATAAGAAGAATTGATTAAGTAACTTGATAATTAAGAAGGAAATGGAAATTGAAAGAAATGAAATGGATAGAAATTAGCAAATATGTTGTGGAAGTGTTAATGATTTGTCCTTCAAATGTAAAGGATTTGACCTCCAATGGTGATAATGGATGCTTTCCTTGTTGAAGATTGAAAGATGGTTTTATAGTGATGGAATGGTGATGGTAGTGAAGATGTTGTAGGCGTGAAGTAATGGAAGATGGTGGTGGATATATAGTATCTTATAAGACTAAGAATGAACCAATGTTATAGATGAGAAAAGACCTGATTTTTATAAGTCGTTATAAGGGATGGTAGCAAGGACTTGAACCCACTAGTTATAGGAACTCGAAGTATCTATGGAAGAGGTTGACGCCACAAACTTTAGAAGCTTGCTTAATCGATATAGTTTTAAAAAGAACTTGAAGAGAGATAATCTCATAAAGATTTATTATCAAAAGGGTTGAGTTTACAAATGAATGTCAAAGCCTATTTATAGGCTTGCAAAGATTTGGCCGAATAGATACATGACTTTCGGCAAAATACATTACTTAAAATGAAAATAAATGATGCTTTGATGAAGGGAGATGTCCTTGGCCGAATGGTTCCCTTGTTGGTTCATCTTGGCGCCAACTTGAAGTAACACCTTGCTTTGAACGAATATAGAGAAGCCCCTTCAGTTTGGCGCCCATTTCATCTACACGCATGGCACATGGGTGGGCTGGTCATGAGGCACTCACATGGGTATTATAGAATGCTTAAGGTATGGACTCGTCCATGGCATGAAGATAACAACAAGTTAAGCATGACTTGGCATCCAATATGTGTCTAGGTGACATGGCATACAATGGACAACAACTTATTATGAAAGGTCACATTTGTGTAAGGCCACCTTTCATCATTTGAGCTACTTCCCATGTGTATGAGCTGAAGATGTGCTGGCCATGGATGAAGTACATGAAGATGAGTCTTTGGTCAGCTCCTTGTGAAAATGCACTTCTTGGAATGGCAACTCTTCACGAAAAGGTACAAATCCACACAAAAATTGACATGGACCATATTTGAAGTGCTATGTGTGGTGGTGATGATGGTGCAACTCTCCAGCTGAAATAAGACCTCTAGCTAGCTCAAAAGTCCAGCTCAAGTCAGCTATAAGCTCGGGGGTCAACTGGCAACTTTTCACCATTTGTTCTTCATGATCTCTCGAGTAATCCAATGTAAGTTTTCCTAGCCCCTTTTCCTTAGTTAAGCTCAAATTTAGCTCCCAAGTTGTTGTATACATTGATTCCTACAAAAAAAAATTATATTAAAATATAACTTAAGTGCTTATAATGTAAAGATGTGATGCATATAACATATATATTAAGTATGCTTCATTTAATGATGAATATAAGATAAGCTATATATATTATGAAATATACATCATATAATATAATGTTTAAAGCATAGATTAATATATATGTAATATGGTGTAGCTTTGTGAATTGTAAACTAAGGAAAAGACAAATAAAAGGGATTGAGAAGACTCCCTCATGCCACCATGGTGAGGAAGTTAAGAAGAGAAGAAGTAGGATGGTCCATATCACATCATGGCCCATTTTGAGACCCCCAGGGTCCGCGTGTTTTGCCGTGGATATGGTCTAATTACAGTTTCGGTCCCCCTAAAATCATGCGTATTTAATTTGTTCTACTACTACGTTTTATTTTTTTGTCACACCCTTTATTTTTATTTTTTACAATTCAATCCTTTCCTTATTTATTAAATGTTTTCATTTGATTATTTTTAAAAAAGATCACTACATTTGATTTTGAGCCGACATTTTTTTGTTCTATTTTTGTTTTTATTGTTTCTTTCATTGTTATTTTTATTTAATTAATTTTTAATTTGTATTTGTTTGTATTTAACCTTGCAATTGACATTTTATTTTTATTGTAATTTAATCAACTTTTTCTTAACCTCGTCTTTTTCATCATTTCGTGTTTTAATATGTACGATCCTTTCTTTTATTTGGCATTGAATTGTTCTATTTATTTTTGGTATTTTGTTCTATTAATTTTATGTTCATTTATTTTTCAGCATGTATGTACCTATGTATCTCTTTTCCTTTCTTTATTTAAAATATTATAATTAATTTTTGTTAATTCTTCCTTTTGATTCATTCAATATGTTATTTTTGCAATCTAACATCTTTTGACCTTTTTAGGGGTACTTTAAATCGATTAAAGGTAAGTAATTTGAATCGAATTTTTATTTTCTATTTAACTTTCAATTTTCTTAATTAAGACAACTGGAAATTAAATTAGTACTGAAAGGGCAGTACAAGGATGCTAATCCTTTCTTGACTGTAACCGACTCTCAAGCCTGACATATTTTTGGTAAGACGCAGATCATGTAAGAAAACAAATCGAAGTGTCCAATCAACCTTATTTTTGTTCTTAAAATAAATGATCGGTGGTGACTCTAACTCACTTATTTAAGTCGAAGCCCAATTTCGGGCCCACCCGAAGGACAGTTGCAACAACTATAATATTAAAACTAGTCAATTTAGATCATATAAAGACCCCACATGGAAAATGTTAAAATCCAACTAAAAAACTCGAACAAAAAATAGATGCAAACAAATCTGATGGTATCAACAAACAAACCACAAAAGGAAAAGCTATTGAAAGACTACTAAGAATCCCAAATTAGAGACAAGTGTCATGAGAAACTATCCACGAACGTAAAATCAGAGACAAACGTCGTGAGAAACTATCCACGAACGTAAAATCGTGTATCCAAATTCAATTCGAGGAACCATAACAAGGAAGATCAACACGATTACAAATAAACGCCATCTTGATCAGTCGTAATGTTATCAAATCCAACCCTAAAAATACATAAAAAAAAGAACGACCAAACATCCGAAAAAATAAAAAACGTTTGACAAAGATAGAGAAAAAAGTCTCACAAATGTAGAATTATTCTTTTTAAAAAACTAAAAAAGAAACAAAGGGAGAAGAGAACCAACGGTCGGCTACCATCATCAAAATCAGTGCCGCTGTCGCCTAAACAAAATCAAAAAAGAAAAAGTTAATTTGATCTATAGAAATTGGTACAAACTTTTATATAAATATTTTTTAAATAGACTGTGCTGATTATAAGTTAGTATTAGTTCATAATATTTATTTACAATATTTTTTTAATTATTGTCAATGCACTCATAGCATATACAACTGCTCAAATTAAGTTATTGAGGCTACTCGATAACTTAAACAACTCATTAGATCTATATATATTTAATGCACTTATGTTATAGAAATTTATATATCATCAATCATATCGTTAAACTAAATATATTATTTAAAGGATATCATATGATCGATTATAATACAGAGACACAATCAATAAATTAAATATACACTATTTTTCAAATAATAAATAACTATAAAAAATCCTATGTTGGCTGCTAATTTTCCCCTTTCCTGGATGTTGGAAGTGTTTAAATAAATAATCTATTGAAAATGGAGTTTAAGCTTTCAAACCAAGACTGGAGTTTAAGCTTTCAAACCAAGACTGGAGTTTAAGCTTTCAAACCAAGACTGGAGTTTATCTAAAAAGAAGAAGGGTAGGCACTGTGTTTTGTTCTTTTTTATCATTTGTTACAATCGATGCCGTTTTCGGCTGATTTTCTTCAATAATCTTGATTGGACACGAAGGAAATGAGATTGTAAGATCGAGATGGTTTATACTTTTAGGTTTTACGGAAGGACTGGAGTTGTTTGAAATTGCCTGTGAAACTGGAATTACTTGGTCCTCCTAACACCTAACCTCTTTCTGGTTCAGGTTATTTGATATTCATGAATCAATCTTCGTTATGAAATTCATACATATATAAACCTTGCATGGCTTAAATAACAATCGCTACAACTGGAGTTCATTAGTTTATGCACCAAGAGTTACAAGAACTATGCACCGCTAGGCCTCTGATGGCAGGAAATCCGATCGGAACACCACACCCGGAGGTCCATCTTGATCTGCCGGAAACTACTAGAGAATCGACTTGGAACCAGGAGAAACCCTAATGACTGTGGGTTATTGACCCGTTTCGGAGTGCTCTTTGTGAAGGATTGTAACCTAAGAGTACTTGCATCAGCATGAGATTTCACAATTAATTCATAGAAGAAACCTCTCTCGGTTAAGGGTCCAATCCGGCTCAATGTGATTACATTCCCCAAAGTCTCAACCTTATTGTGGAGAATGAATAAAGAACCGTCACTCTCCTCTCGAAGAATAAGTGACTTTTCAGAAACTCCAAAGGTGATGGGTGTTAAACGATCATAAAGGAAACATGTTGCAGAATACTTGTGTACATTACCAAAGTGTGCACTTAAATCCTCTGATGAACCCTCAAAGTAGCACTTGGGAAGGGGGCATGAACATGCCACAAATGGACATGCCTTTTCATGTTTCTGCTTCAGGCTATAACTGAATGCTTCTTTGCACCCGTACTTTGTGTTTTGGCATGACACTTTGACAGATTCCAAAACCTTCTCAATCGCCCTGCAGCGACTATAGCCAATCGGAGTCGAACAGGATGGACATCTATTTCTTATTTTGATGCAACAAGTAGAGCAAGCTATATGCCCATTCTCACACTGAATTGCCAATCAAACACATAACAATTTATCAGGATGCATTTAATATATGAACAAATCAATAAAAAATGGCAAAAATATGGAAAATCATTTGATATTTCAGTCAAACAATACCCTTTCATCGGACAATGCCAAATCCATCGACCAAAACACCCTCAAGTTCAAAAGGATAAAAATACTACAAAATTTACATAAGAAGCCATAAAAAATGCTTTTGTAGACATCAAAGATTTGCCCGTAAAGGGTTCATCACAAGAAGCTAAGATTAAGCATTATAAACCCATGTTTTTTTCTCTTTATTCTCACAAATTCTGGTCAGAACAGGTCTAAATATATCATGAAAACATTTTAAAGTGGTTTTGAAGTCAACTTGTACATATCCAATTATGAACAACATTGTAAAACTCACAAACAGCTTCCCCATCTACGTATACTAACGCTTGTGTGTCTGTGTCAAATACATATATGTGTCTAACACAGGTATGTTCAATCTTTTCTGAGTTTTCCCATGTATATGGAGAGTCCTTTGAGGGTCCTATCCCCATAGCCATATCCGAAAATATGGATGCTTAAAGAAAAATGAAGTTGGAACAACAAAGCTCCCCATCATCTTAAGAGGTTAGAATCTCAAACGACTCATCCTCCCTCATCATCTTAAGTGGTTAGAATATGGGTGCTCAAAGAAAAATTAAGTTGGAACAACAAAGCTCCCCATCATTTTAAGAGGCTAGAATCTCAAACGGTTCAATCTTTTCTTAGTTTTCCCATGTATATGACCGCATGTTCTATTATTGGCAACACTTCTAAAAAAGCACTCCCGAGGACTGGTTAAAGAGAGACAGGAATGACCTATTCTTCCAATATTGCTTATACCTGACTATTTGTAATAACTTGAAAATTTTGGCCCTAGAGATGCAACTAAGATTTCACCAATAGAAAAAAGGTTACCAGCCTACTAAACCTCACTATATTGCACTAACTCTTCATTTTTTCTTTAAGTCGCCCTGTCCGATATATATTCAACATGAGCATATGGATACGACCCTCAAAAGACCCTTCAAGTACATAAAAAACCTTGCAATGCATTTTGAAATAGCAATATAGATTTAACACAGAACAACGATTTCACTTATTTCCCCTTACAAATTCGCATAGGGAACAAGAAATATTTGAATTCCACATAATTCTCATGATCTATCAACTAACTAACCGTCCTCTGCCACTGAAGCTAACAATCAGTTTCTTCAACATCTATATAGTTCCTTTTAGCAGACTCAAACTTCGATTCTAGTATTCAATTATTGAATTTAAGCAAATTTGCTAAATGAACAAACCTTATCTTCACCCAAAAAAAGTATAAAATCCACAATACCAACTAATAAACTGAAGTCTAGAACTAAGCAATTTCTCTCCAATCATATCCCCCAAGTCAGTATTCAAAGTTTTGCATGAAAAACTAGTGTTGAAGGATTCATCTCATATAAATTTATAGAACAAACAATTTGAAAAGAGAAACACCAACAGAAAATGAAGAGAATAAGAAATATAATTCGAAAACATAGATAAATTTGAAAAGCTCTCCCTAACAAACAAAAATCTATCAGCAAAAATCAAACTTTTAGAAGCATTTCACCAATAACAATAAAGAAAACCCAGTTGCATATTAAAGGGGAAACACTGGAATCTGAAACCTTTTTCACCCAAAAATTAAAACCCACCCTAAAACCCAATCCTTTCACCATAAAACAAAGAAATTAACCAGATATTTTAATGTTTTTCACCAAAGAATAGGAAACCCATACCCCAAACCACCAAATTGTCGAAAATTAAATGACCAACCTGAAAAACAGGGATACTCAAGGCCTCGTAGCAGATAGAACAATCAAGAACTTCAGGGTCAGCTAACGTAATTGAAATAGATCCATCTTGAGCAGTCTGAGAGCTCATTTCTCCTTGCTCAGCTCCAGTCTCCTCCAATTGTTCTTCTCCTTCAGATTCTTCTGCTCCTTCGGATGCTTCTTCTTCTCTTTCGGATGCTTCCTCCCCTCCCGATTCTTCGTCTTCTTCGGATTCTTCTTGTCCTGAGCCTCCGATATCAAAAACACGCTCAGCCATCTGACGCTTAGGGACTCGATTGCTTGGCCCTTCTCCGTCTTCTTCGATCCCCACGGAGAACTTTACCATTCTCTTCTACTTCCCTTTTGCCCTATACGTCTTTTATTTTACGTTTATGACTCGTTTCCTTTTTCTTTTGAAAAAAAAATATTTTTAAGGTAAATTATATAAATAGTCCCCAAACCTTTAGGAATATTACATTTTGGTCACTCAACTTTTGAAACTTGCAATGCAGGAATTGAATTTTGAGAAAATCGCCTCAGTGACCAAAAAAAAGTTATAATATACGATTTTAACCAACTTTTTTTGGATTTGCCAAAATGACCAACAAATTCGCAACGCGAAATAAAAATCGCAACGCGATCCCCAGAATCGCAAATCAGTTTCCAAAATCGCAACGCGATTCTTGAAAATCGCGATGCGATAGTACATATTCGCATTGCGATTTTCCATAATCGCAACGCGAATATGAAAATCGCAACGCGAACACATAAATCGCAACGCGTATCCGTAAATCGCAACGTGTATCCGTAAATCGCAACGCGTATGGGTAAATCGCAATGCGTATCCGTATATCGCAACGCGTATCCGTAAATCGCAACGCGTATCCGTAAACCGCAACGTGTATCCGTAAATCGCAACGCGTATCCGTAAATCGCAATGCGTATCCGTAAATCGCAACGCGTATCCGTAAATCGCAACGATAATCCGTAAATCGCAACGCGTATCCGTAAATCGCAACGATAATCCGTAAATCGCAACGAGAATCTGTAAATCGCAACGATAATCCGTAAATCGCAACGAGAATCTGTAAATCACAACACTGAAATTTTGGGTATATAACACTGAAATCATAAACTAAATCCCTAAATCGCAACTCATTCCATCTCCATCTATCACTCTCTCCGGCGACATCCGTTCCTATATCCAACGACATCCTTCCCAATCCGGCAACAGGTTTTAGTTTCGCAGCTCGTCTGTTTAGTAAATTAATTTACAACCATGAAATCATCTAATGTTGATCATGTTTGGATAGATTTGTGTTTTGGAGGGTCATGGGATAATGTTCATGGTGTTTTACAATATATGCCTTTACCCATGAATCTTCAACTAAAATTGTCTTTACAAAAGTTAACTTATGAAACTCTAATGCTACGTGTTTCAAATAAATTGAATTTAGAGCCCCTAAGTGGATTTAGGCTATCTTATCAGAGAAATGGTAAAGTTTATTTGTTAACCGACAATGAAGATGTTGAACGATTCATTGCTTACATTAGTGTTTCACAAGATGATGTTACAATGTATGTTGTTGAACCTAGAAGTAGTATTGTTGGGTCAGTAGCGGGTAGTAATCAACTAAGTTTTTCTCAAAACCCACAACCTTTCTCTAATCCAAATCCCAATCAACTTTCAGCACCAAATTCCGGTTTTCGTATTGACCAGTTAGACGATGATGAGCCAACAGAAAAAATTGTGAGTACTAGTCAGTATTCGAAATTTGGTCTTGGTCAATATCCGGACTTTGATATTGGTCAATAAACGGATTTTGATGATGTTTCAGAAGAAGACAGACCATGCGTGTAATGATATTGATATTGGTCAATACCCGAATTTTGATGATGAAACAGCCGTTGCCGAAGAATGTAATGTTGATGATAATGAGGAGGAAGTTACGACTGTGAATGAACATGTTGAACATCCATTCTGTAATTCATATAATCCTGAAGAAGAAAAAGAAGAAGAAAAAGTCCCCGAAGAAAGAAAATGCCACGGGCGTATAACTGGAATATGCCAGAATTACTTCAGATACCGGAAGAAGAGTTGATAAAGAAGCAGTTGATTGTTACACAAAAGTTATTCGTATCAAGAAAGATGATTGTTTTGATACAAAGGAAGACTTGAAGATAGCTTTATATACGAAATGTGTGGAAGATGGCTATCAACTAAAAGTTAACAAATCAAGCAAAGATCGTTTCGAACAAGGTGTATGATTGACAAAAACTGTACGTGGCGTATGATTGCAAAGAGAATAAAAGATTGCAAAATGTTTCAAGTTAGGACTTTTATTGATAAACATACATGTTCAAGAACCCAAGTTTTTCCTCACCATAGACAGGCAAACAAAAAGGTGTTGGGTGGTTTTCTGGCTGAGTTAATGTTTTTGAATGGCAGGGTATATCGGGGACATGAAATTATGACTGACATGAATGCTCGGTTCAAGATTAGTATATTATATTCTCAAGCTTGGAGAGCCAAATGTTATGCCTTGGAATTGTTGAGGGGGTCGCCAGAAGCATCGTTTGCCCAACTGCCGGCTTATTGTCACAATTTAAAGCTGAAAAATCCTGGGTCGGTAACTCATATCAAAACAGATAGAGATGGACGCTTTGAGTTGCTGTTTATCGCCATTGGTGCTACGGTTAGTAAATCAATATAATTTTGTTGACTCATTTTTGTTAGTTACATGCATTTCACATTTAAATGATTATATTTCTTGTGTATATTATTTTGTAGATTCGTTCGTTTATTACTTGCATGCGCCCAGTTATTATAGTTGACGGAGCACATTTGAAAGGTCGATACCTTGGAGTAAACTTATTAGCAGTAGCCATGGATGCTAACAATGGGATATTGCCAATAGCTTACGGGGTTGGCAAATCTGAAACCTCTGATTCATGGACATGGTTTATGGGGCATCTTAGGGATTGCATAGGTCCTATTAGCAATCTGACAATTATATCCGATAGGGCAAACTCAATTGACAACGCTGTTAGAAGGTGTTTCCCAGATGCTTTTCATGGACTTTGTGGTGTTCATTTGTATAGAAATCTAAAATCAAGGTCTGCTGGTATAAAAAAGCACAAATGGACATACTGGAAGGCTGTAAAAGCTTATCGGGAAGTGGATTTCAATAAGCATATAAATTGTTTAAGACGTGTTTTGCCTCATTGTGCTCAAACACTAGAAGATGTCGGGTTTGAAAGATGGTCAAGAGTACATCAACTTGGAGCAAGATATGGTTTCATGACGTCTAATAGTGCAGAATCAATCAACGCTCTAAGTCGTCATTCCCGGAAATTACCCATTACTATGTTAATGGAGTTTTTTCGAGCCTCTATTCAACAGTGGTACTACAAGAAAAGAAACCATGCAGGTATTATTTCTTTGAATTCGTAACTTATCATATTTATATATTTTACTAAGTATTGTTTATTTAAATTTGAAATGACCATCCAGCTCAGTTGGTAGAGCACAAGGTTCTAAACCTTGAGGTCGTGGGATCAAGTCCCACGGAGGGCATTTCATAATTTGGAGGTCTCCTACGGAAGCTGCTCTCAACCTGGTGTTGGGGGCAGCCTACTATCTTACCTCCCCCTTACCCCATACATATGGGAAAAAAGGGACAGCCATTTTATTGTTTATTTAAATTTACAGGAACATTGGAACATCGTGTTACACCATGGACTGAAAAAAAGATAACGAAACGTGTTGTGAAGTCAACGTCATGGAGAGTTGAACCATGTTCAAACACTTTGTTTCAAGTACTGGATAATAACTTAAATGGGCTAGTCGATCTAAATGCAAAGACGTGTAGTTGTATGAAATGGCAAACATCTGGTTATCCGTGTGGCCATGTTATAAAAGTTGCTCTTCATTTAAACCAAGATGATTCAAGCGCATACGCTATGGATTGCTACACTACAGAAGTTTATCGACAGACTTATGCCGAGATTGTCTACCCTATTCCACATCCTTCTGAGTGGGACATACCAGATGACTTACAAACAGTTTTGCCACAGCCATGGACAGAAGGCTACCTGGCCGACCAAAAAGTCACGATCGTATACCGTCTAAGGGTGAAGAGAAGAAGAGATCGACATGTAGTCGGTGCAAGGAAAGTGGTCATACAAGGTTGACATGTGGATCACCAGTGCCATCAAAATCATCTTTTCCTCTACCAAAATATGGATCCTCATCAAAATCCAAAGCTCATATGGTGTCAAGCAAAAGGCAATCATCTTTAAAATCCCAATCACGATTGGCTTCACCTTTTGAGACTGTTAACTTAGGTGATTTTTAAATGCAAACGTTGTATTATGTGGATTTTATGTGTGAACTTTTAACATTTTCAGTTGAATTAATGACTCAGGCCAACCATTTTGACTTAACCAACTCTTGTTATTCAGTTGTTATCACTATTAGGCATGCATTTGACTATCGCAACACGGAAAATACAATCGCAACGCGAAATGAAAATCCCAACATGAAAATCGCAATGCGGAAATGAAAATCGCAACGAGAGAATCGCAATGCGAAATGAAATCGCAATGCGAAATGAAAATCGCAACGAGAGAATCGCAATGCGAAATGAAAATCGCAATGCGAAATGAAAATCGCAACGACAGAATCGCAATGCGAAATTAAATCGCAATGCGAAATGAAAATCGCAATGCGAAATGAAAATCGCAATGCGAAATGAAAATCGCAACGAAAGAATCGCAATGCGAAATGAAAATCGCAATGCGAAATGAAAATCGCAACGAGATAATCGCAATGCGAAATTATAAACGCATTGCGATTTTCATTTCCGCATTGCGATTTTCATTTCGCATTGCGATTCTCTCGTTGCGATTTTCATTTCGCATTGCGATTTTCATTTCGCATTGCGATAGTCATTTTGCCTTCAACATAATGCAGATTGAAATCAACAAAATCAACCATTACATTTCAATCAATTAAACAAGCACAAATAAGAATTATGTTCGCATCAATTACACAAATCAACTTTTACAAATCATCTTTTACAAATCAATTAAACAATCAAAAAATAAGCAATAATTCTTATTTCCGATCATCTACTATTGAATCAACTTTTACAAATCAATTAAACAATCAAAAAACAATCAATTAAACTATTGAATCAACTTTTGCAGCTCGACATCATTTTCACGCAGTTCACTTCTGAGATTAACCTGCAGAAACCAAACATTTGTTCAAACAACACTTTCTACACATCTAAAACCTACAAACAGCAAATTATTGAATTCTAGTTACTTAACCAAACATTTTCAAACCAAAAGTATATAAACTTACCAATTGTTTATGGACATTTTTATAACGCGGATGCA